AAATTTTACATAAACAAAGATTTTATGACACATGATTTAAACGTATCCAAAGACAAAATTAATATCAGTGTTACAATGTTACTATGTTACAACCCATATTGTTCGTGTAAATAGCTAACCTATTTAAGAGTTTAGATTTACCGTATAGAGTATTATGCAATCCAACAAAAATTTGAATAAAAATTATAAGACATTAAATGTAGGGACACCGAATTAATTTATGCATCTAATATATTTATTGGATGTAGAGTCACTGGAAAATTTTCATCATATATATTGTATCTGAAAATCCACTCATTTGAAACAGTTGGTTATTCGAAGGAATAATGATATTTCATATATAAACTGAAAAGATATATCTAATAAATATGAAATATCTATTCATAGTAGGTACTAATAACGTATTTACTCAAATTTAAATTCTGTTATTTAAATATAGAATAAATAATCGTTTTCATAAAAAAAAAACTACAGATTCAAAAAAAATGTATATCTCTTTATTTGAGAATATTTTTTTCTCGATGAAAAATATATATATATTAATATAAGTAAATATGTTACTAGCACTACTACTACTAGTATTGAATAAATGTTTCTTATTTTCTATATATTTTTTATCTCAATGTATTACTTGTTTCTTCATATGCAGTTTTATATTTCACGTTGCAAATGACGCTCTGCCTGAACAATATATGATATGCTGTTGTTTCTTCAAGCAACTAACATACACAGTTGATGCGTGTAATTAAAAATGTCTAATGATTCTATATTGGAAGAAGAAATAGTTAATCTCGCTAAAATTATAATCATTATATAATTTTTGGCGCCAAATATATATCTTCTTATTGCTCTAACAGAAAAATATAATAGCAATAATATGTATATAAGATTATTAACATTAGCATTATGTTATTATATATTATATACAGTACTTATCACAAAAACGGTTTTTTTTACAATAACTATATTACTATATAATTACAGTAATCAATAAATCAAATAATTTGTTTTCAATACATATCTAGTAAGTGTCAAAATATCAACACTGGCGTGTATACATGCGCTGAAAGAAATCATAGCTATTTCCATTCTCAACCTGTTTTTGTACCTTTTTAATGGTTTTAATCACAAAAATAATAGTAGCTATATAAGGTTATTATTACTGACACTATAATAACACTTATTAGAAAATTATATTGACTATAATTCTTTCAATATAATGTGATTATATGTAGTTACAATATAAATTATAAATATACCAAATATTTTTTTTCTCTCAATAGGTGAAAGATAACCTGCCACAGATGATCGACGGCGTTCCAAGTTCCGCCTCGAGTTTCGATTCGGCATTCAAGCCGAACACGCGGATCCGAGCGAGTGCATTTCGGCCGAGACGTGACCTCGCGGTCGAGCCACATCAAGCCGAAGGCACCGTTCAATTTGCGTGTCTCCGGAGAATTCGACGCGCGAACGTACCGCTCGGTGGCCTCGTTCACTCGCAACGAGACGATATATTCTTATCGCCCGTATGCCTCACGCGTCTCCATATGCGAATTAAATAGCACGAAGGCGTCCTTCCTCCCTTCCCCCCTCACTCACGGTCTCTCGCTCTTTCCCTGCTCACCGTTGCGCCGCTCGTCACTCTTCTTTGTCGCGCGTGCTGCGGCTTTATCAATCGCGCTGCAATCAACACGCACGACTCGCGCTTCGCATTCCGGATTCCGGTAAACCATCGTATTAATAGCCGGTCCTGCTTCCTCCTGCGGTTTCTTCATGTTGTCACGAATGACAGAATGTCATTAAACTTAACTTACACAGTGTATTCTCGCGCGACGACAACCGGCGCGATCGATCGGCCGAACGGTGTCCTCGAGATATAATAGACAACAATTAGCGCGTGCCGCTTCTCTCCTCCCCTTCTTCACCCGTTCTTCCGATTCTCTCATGAGAGGCAGCTGTTACAGCCAAAGAGAGTGGCATAAGAATTCGCGACGAATAGACGCGCGAGCCCGGTGATCTGACTTACTGCTAAAATACACGCCGAAAACCGGATGCCTCTTTGAGTTGTCAGCTGACGCGATCCGCTCGACGTCGTTTTATCTTCAGCGCATAAAAGACGAAGGAGGTCGTTAACGATAGCAATATTGCAGTATTGTACCCTGCACCTCGCGTTATCGGGTATCTGAGATGAAATTCGCGTCGAAGTCTACTTTGAATTTAATCGCGAAATCTGATCTTTGCCGTCTGAGGCACACTAGGTCGTACTCGCGCGACTTTTCCGTCTGATTACGATCCACTCTGTGTGTCGACAAAAATCCCACGCTAAAAAAAAACATCTAAGAAATGAAAGATATTTACTTGGTGAGTACTATTAACATATTTACTTATATTAACATACGTATCTTTATGTTAAGATAAATCTCTTCTCAAATGATAAAATACGCATTTTCTTAAATCTGTAACTTTCTATGCAATTGTTTTAAAATAAAAAAATTTAGATTTAAAAAAATATGTTATTAATATTCACCGAATAAACGTTTTCCGATTTTTAGATATTTTTCTCTCGATGCACTAAAATTATGATTATTTTCGGTCCCAATTACATCTTCTTCTGATTTTAAGACAAAAAATAATAACAACAATGTACACGTAATGTTATTATTACTAACATTATAGTAACACTTAGAATAAAAACATCAAGATTGACACACCATTTTATTTTTTAACTCTAAAATCCTTTTAAAAATATAGAATTAAAATTCATATACATAGATGCAAAGTGGTAACATTTCTCTATCAAAATATTTTTCTATCAAAAATTGTAGTATGATCTCAA